AAGTTTCATTTGTTTTATTTCGGCTAGAATAAAAACAGTTTTTAATTTTTTAAAAACCAATTTTGGGAAAAAATTATTAGCCCCTTTAAGCAATTTTTTTTTTCGATAGTCTACAGAACAAACCATTAATATAAAATAATTTGCCTAATTACCCTAACCTGCCTAGTTCAACTTATTAACCAAGGTAAACCTTTAAATGTCAATTTAAGCTGTATAGAAGAGTCTTGAAAAAATATTTAGTAAAATATTAATTACTGTCATCATGACAAAGATAAAATAAATCAGTTATTAGAAATAGATTTTAAAAACTGATAACACTTTACAATAAGGTTCATTAGTTAATGCATTTACTAACATGAATTAATCATGAACAACACATGTACAGCATTTATTAATCATAATTAAACATTTACTAATGCATTATTAGCATCCAACTCCATGCTTGTTAACATTAGTAAATGCACCATGAGTTAACATGAACTAACAATGAACTACTGTTTTTTCATTAACGTAAACTAACATGAACAAATACAGTAGTAAATGTATTGTTCATTGTTTGTTCATGTTAGTAAATGCGTTAATTAACATTAACTAATGAACCTTATTGTAAAGTGTGACCTTAAAACTATTATGCTTAGAAATGTGCTGAAACAATCTTCCCTCCATTAAACAGAAATTGGGGGAAAAAAAATTAACAGGGGCGCTAATAATTTAGGGGGGCTAATAATTCTGACGTCAACTGTATATATATAAAATTAATTCTTAAATTAAAAATTAAAAAATGGGGGACGCCGACGCACGATATCTGGGGGTGGGGGACGCACGATATCTGGGAGATTATCACTCGTTTGTGGGCATCCGGAAGTCTCTGTGCATTTGCAGGAGACTGCCGAAACTTCCAGGAGACTTGGGATGTCTAGAATGACCTGCCACCCTACTCATAATTCTCTCTTCATATAGCCGTTTGCCTATTACATATCCATAAAACACTGTGATATAACCGGGCTCGGATCGTATCGCTTTCTCACTACAATCAATCCTTGTGGAGGTGCACATTAATGTATTTGATCTTCAGTGATTGGGCTTTCAGCAGTAAAATTGAATCTACACTAAACTAAACTAAACTAAACTCAACTTCAGCTCTAAAAACTTGACTGATGGAGAAACATGGACTGATGTTAAAGGTGCAGTATGTAAGTTTGACACCCAGTGGTTGAACTAGGTATTGCATTTCTGGATCAAAACAAACGCAAGCACGGGTTGCCAGATTGACGACCAACAGGAGTGAATCTGACTATCAAACCTAAAGACTGATTTAAATCGTGTTCTAACTAAAAGCAACGAAACGCATGACAATGATTACCTCAGGTATACCTTGTGTGCTTTATTCTGTGTTAAATACTAACAATGGGAGTTTAAATTAAAATTTACATGACATTTATTGCCTTATTACTGAAAGCAGCAGCAGAATTATTGCAAGCCAACACATATCAGTGATTCAGCATCTACATTTAATAAAGTTAAAGAGGTTTAATATGTATTATTAGATTATAAATTTTACCATTTTGTACGTGCATATTCTGTGCTTCTGAATGGCTGTATTTAAATTTCTGTCGTGATGCATCTGGTGCAAACAGCTAAATTGCTTGTCACTACAAATGTCATCACATAGCGTGTTCTTAGGACACAGGATTACAATGTAACCTGCTCACCTAATATTTATGTTCACCTAATATTTTTGCTAATTAATAACCTCATGTGGAACTCTGAATCTGCGTCTCATTTCGGAGTCTGCTACTGTCCACCGAAGGTGGCATTTTAATCATGGGCGCATGCTTTACGAGCATTTCTGAATGACTGAATGAATGAAATATGCTGTTATCCACTAAGGCAACCTGGGGTGCTAAAATACAATTGGCTACACTGACACTGGGTGGGTTAAAAGAACCAAAACAAAGACAAAGCGTTCCAGCACGTAATGCTCATTTTCAAAGCAGAATAGCAGACTTCAGCATTGTTTTTCAGATGAACAATAATGTCCTCTTGACATGTTTCTAAATATCTGCAAACCTATTATGGTACTTTTATGCTTTAGAAGAGTCAAACACTTACATAGAGCACATTTAAGCTGCTTTGAATATAGTATACATTGTAAAAGCACTATAGAAATAAAGATGAATTGAACTGAATCAATTCACAGTAAAACCAAATTTTTTTCTATATTTTACATTTTTTAAATATGTATTATAATACGCAATTAATCCATGTAATGCAAAGGTGAATTTTCAGCAGTCATTACTGGTCTTCAGTGTCACATGAACCTTCAGGAATCATTGCAACGTCCTTATTTTCATGCCTAATATAATTTTTTTTACTACTATCATTTTTTAGGATTCTTTAAATACAGAAAGTTTTCTTTAGAAGAATAGCCTTTACTTGAAATAAAATGATTTTAAAACATTACAAATTAATTCCTGACCCACTTAAAAGGTCTAAAAGCATAGTAACGTGTTAATAAAAGCTACATTTTCCATTCTCCATTCATTTTCCATGCAAGCTCAACAGAATATTTTTTCTTTCTGTCATAAAACAGGTGTTTGTCCATGAATCCCTGTTAATCTGTGTCTCTGGCCTGACAACAAACATCTCCAAGCACCACAGAAATCTCTGCTGCTCAACCCAGATTTCCTCTCCTTCATCCCGGCTCACCATGACATGTCAGAACCTTCCCTCCACCGAGACATGAACAGACCAGTTGGGTTGCTTTGGCTATTCTTAGCTCCAGCAATAAGAACCTGCCTGCCAAGGACTCCAGTATTAACTAGGGACTCTATTAGACCACTGTGCTCAGTTGTGTATAAAATGACTGAGAGAAAGATAGAGAGATGGTGAAATAATGCTTAACCAATAAAAAAAAGTTACATAAGTGTTGAGTGAAAGCAATCGAAGTGTAAAAGCTCCCATTAACTAGTGCAGTGCTGTGGTTGTCAAGTCTGTTTAATTGCTTCCTTTGTTTCATTCCCCGAGCAACGAGAGTAATAACTATAGGAAGAAAAGATTACTGCCTGTGTTGAATGCAATCTGAATCTCATCACAGGCCTTCATATGAACGTGTGTAATTATCAGTGCGTGCATGAGTGGATCTACGTGTAATAGTAACAGAAATTACAGAGCTGTCTTTTAGGTACAGTAATTGACCAATGGATTTTGAAATGAGAAAGTTCTCTCTCTAGATTTGCGTTTTAGACTAAAGTAAATTCATTAAAGTGGTATTGGATATTTGCAGATTACATGTATGCAATACTGTTAAAACTAATGGGGTCTGTAATATTTTTCCTATGATTCTGAAAGGCAGCATTTATTTGATTAAAATTAGATAAAATATTAATTAGTATGTTTTAAATATATAATATTACAATATACAGTTAGGTCCATAAATATTTGGACATCGACACAATTCTAACATTTTTGGCTCTATGCACCAACACAATGGATTTGAAATGAAATGAACAAGATGTGCTTTAACTGCAGACTGTCAGCTTTTTTTGAGGGTATTTACATAAAAAATCAGGTGAACGGAAATAAAACGTTTGCATATGTGCCTCCCACTTGTTAAGGGACCAAAATTAATAGGACAGATGATAAAAATAAATCAAACTTTTACTTTTTAATACTTGGTTACAAATCCTTTGCAGTCAATTACAGCCCGAAGTCTGAAACGCATAGACATCACTAGATGCTTTGTTTTATCCCTGGTGATGCTCTGTCAAGCCTCTACTGCAACTGTCTTCAGTTTCTTCTTATTCTTGGGGCATTTTCCCCTCAGTTTTGTCTTCAGCAAGTTAAATGCAAGCTTAATCAGATTCAACTCAGGTGATTGACTTGGCCATTGCATAACATTCCACTTCTTTCCATTCACAAACTCTTTGGTTACTTTTGCAGCTTTAATCTGACTTTCTTGTTTTTGAGGCTCACCAATGGTTTACATCTTTTGGTGAACCTTCTTTATTTAATCTGGTGTAGCCTGACTCTGAAACACATACAACTACCTCCTGGAAAGTGTTCTATCTTGCCAACTGTTGTGAAGGGTGTTTTCTTCACCAGGGAAACAATTTGTGGGTTTTATTTTTGCCATGCCTAATGTTTTTGCTGTCTCTCTGATGGGTTTGCTTTGTTTTTTCAGCTCAATGATGGCTTGCTTGACTGATAGTGACAGCTCTTTGGATCTCATCTTGAGAGATGACAGCAACTGATTCCAAATGTAAATAGCACACTTAAAATGAACTCTAGACCTTTTATGTGCTCATTGTAATTGAGAGGATGAGGGAATAACACACACCTGGCCATGGAACAGCTTAGAAGCCAAATTGTACAATTATTTTTGGACTCTTAACAAGTGGGAGGCACATATGCAATCTGTTGTAGTTACAACAGCGTTCACCTGATTTGGATGTGAATACCTTCAAATGATGTATTTATATGTAATGTTAGTTTAATTTCAAATCCATTGTGTTGGTGTATAGAGCCAAAAATGTTAGAATTGTGTCAACGTTTCAATATTTATGGACCTAACTGTACATTCCTGTCATGGCAAAACTGATTTTTGAGTAGTCGTTACTCCAGTTTTCTTTGGTACATGTTTCTCAATCAGCAGATAAAGTTCATCAAATTATCATTAAGGAATAGTTGTGATTGTTATTGATTTTGTGGAAATTGTGATAGATTTGAGCAAAATTCTTTGACCGAAAGAAAACTCAACATTTTATTAGAATTGGACGCTTATTTAACATTATAAATCTCCTTATTCTTATCAAATAAAAGTATTTACAATTATATATATAAAACCAGACACTGCATTTTCCCATTGTTCTATATTTTCATGTATCTGAATTGTAAGCTGGATTTTATCTGCACAGGTCTGAATCATTTTGACCTCTCGGAATTATAAAACATATCCCAGTAGGAAGCACTTGACCTCTCAGTATTAGAAGACCTCTTACCTTGTTCTCTAGACGTCCAATCAGCTCAGCCAGTCGATTGATCTGTGCCTCAAGTCCTTCTTTTCTCACCTCCACAGCCCCTGACGGAGACACAGAGGAACAGTGCATAATTTGCAGATAGTTTCAATCATGTTTTACTCTTCTAGGCACCTGAAACCTCATCTCAGAGCGGCTGTCATAGCAATGCGACAGGGCGAATCAAACATTCAGACTTTATTACTGAACCCAAGCTTTTACGAAGATTTTAATGGACGTTTACATGTTTTTGCCAGCTGCTTTTATTTTTTATACATTCAATCAGTTCAAACCTGAAGAAATGATGGTGAGTAGAAGAAAAGCATCATGTAAAATGTGCGAAAGGCAAACAAATAACCCCCCACATCGTCAATACTTGCTCAAGGATTTATTAAATTTGATGTTTCTGACCATCATCAGACATAAATACACACATTGAAAATAGCAGTAAATTAAATAAAACAATATTGAATGTGTCATTCAACTATCATAGTCACCAGCGATCTAATCCTGGCAGATCACTGGTAGACATGCAGATGGCCACAGAACTGCAAATTCGGCATTATATGGACTACAGATCCAGTCATGCACCGCTCACATGCACCTGTTCCAGATTTCGCTGATTGCACACACACACAAATGCACAAAGTCGGAGGATCGTTACGGACTGATTATAAGGACTATTTATTCAACACACACAAATCAATGCTTAGTCCTGTTGAGCTTTATTGTGGACATAACGACGCAGTTTTCTTGCCTTGTTGTGTTGGACCCTTGTCTTGTTTTATTGTTTTTTTCTGTCTGCCACCTGCCTTTTGACTATCTGCCTGTTTACTGACCAAGACTCTGGATTTCCCGTATACATCTGTTTATTTCTGTATTGACTATTGCTTGCCTGACCATTCTGTTGAATAAATCTTGCATTTGAATCCACACTCTGTTGTCCAGCATCCAATCATATAACATCAACAAGCAATCGTGACTTCCAACACAAAACTCTATTCATCCATCACGATAAAATAATAAATCCTAAATGATCCCGATCAAATTATTTATAACATTAAAGTAAATAATGCTTCATTATTTAATCCTCCAACGTTTGTAAATAAAACAACACATTTCTCTCATGACAACTCTTGGAGATTTTGTATAGTTATGAATATGTATATGGCAATGTTGATGTGTTTGGTCTTGGCAGCATAGATCTGCTATGCTGCTGCTGCTTTGATTGTAATGGCAGCGCAAGTACAGACACTTGCTACTGCGAGTATATTCACAGACATGCTGTCTGAGGGTATAACACACTGCTGCTGCAAACAATATATATTTGTTTCCACCGCATAGAAGATCTAAACACAGGTGGAGCTGGGGTGGAGGAGGGTCTCCAAAAACAAGCTGCAACATAACAGAATGACACTGAGCATTTACAATGCAAGTTTGCAAGCTCACTGGCTGTCGAGGCGGCAACAACTCATCTCCTGTGTAATAGTTAATGACATAAGAGCAGATTAGGTGATCTATCAGCCTGCACGTTTATAGGGCTTCATAAAGAACTTTGCATTAAATTGAATAATGCTACATAATTTAATCCCAAAGGTGTTAAAGTTTGTGAAATCCCAATCTAGAACAAATCACACCTAAATAAAACCAATTACAAATAAATTAAATAATGTTTCATAAAGTAATCCCAAAGATGTTAATGTTCATAAAGTTATTATGCATTTAAGGGTTTTTTTTAGGAGGGACTAAAGACAAGAAGTACTAAAGAGAACTATCATGGAGTTTTGTACATGTACCATAGTATTACCAACTAATGACCATGACTGTACTATGGTACTGTGAATAATGAATACACAGTGTTTACACATTGTTTTTCACAGAAAAACAAAAATGGAGAACGATTAACATGATTTCCACTCTTGCTTTCTTTCTTTTATGCAATGACAGATCCTATTAATGAGGAAAAAAGCTTTTCCTGCCTTTGAAATCAGCCCCACTTGAGGTGCCAAACCAATTAGGCTCTTACACCTCCCTTGTGTTGATGAGGCCAGTATAATGGGGAGGGGAGACACTTTGGAACACATTAACTGTTACCATAGCAATAGCAAGACCAAGTGATCAGAATCCTTTTAAAGGTTTAGTAAGATGGTCACTGAATCAATATGATACAGTATCTGAAACCCGCTTTAATTTTTAGCCATACTGCAGCTTAACATCAGATTAGTCGACACTGACAATGTCAGTAAAACTGTTGTCAAATAATTTGGCCATCGAGTAGTCTTTTGATCCAATGTGACCTTTTTTATGAGCCTGCAATGACATTGTTTGACTGGTGTGGCGCTGTGTTGCAATTATCCTCCTGAATGTAATGCAGTAGAAGAAGATACAATGATTACGGCTGTGTGCAAAACCTGAAAAGTCAACTTTTTAAGGATGCATCCCAAGGCATAAAGGCATATATGTATCCTAATAAAGCATCACTTCATGCATCTTTGTATCTAACTAATTATTAAAAGCAGCATGTATGCATTCTTTGCTGTCATTGATTTCCCACAATCCTGTGCACAGGGGCGCCGCTGGACGCAGATGAAAGTGAAGAGGGGGTGGGGGGAATCTTGCTTGGTGGTCATTTTGTAGTTAAATGTACATTTTGACCAACTTTTTTAATAACAATATTAATAATAATAATTTATTGGTGGTCTCACTAACACCACTTCCAGCAACAACCTAGCTTTACCATGTGGTCTCCCATTCAGGTACTGACCAGGCACAGCCCTATACTTACTGTAGCTTCAGTGGGCGACTATTGATGTGTCTGCAACAGTATCTCATCTAGATAAAATCTAGATGAGATACTGTTGCAGACACATCAATAGTATGTGATTTACTACTTGTTATTGCACCAAATAAACATGAATGAACATCAGAAGCTATGTTGAAAGCAACAGTACAACCACAGAAGAATTTCAATTAGACAGCTTAAAAACAACATGTCAGTTAAACCGTTCAGTGATTATAAACTTGACAGTTAGCTAGGACAAATGAAGAAATATGCAATTACACATGTATGTATTAATTCAATGCACATATTTTAAATATTTAAGAAACTATAAATCTATTATTCATTCATTCATTTTCTTTTCGGCTTGGTCCTTTTATTAATCTGGGGTCACCACAGCGGAATGAACCGTCAACTTATCCAGTATATGTTTTACGTAGCAGGTGCCCTTCCAGCTGCAACACATCTCTGGGAAACATCCATACACAGTTATTCACACTCATACAATACGGAAAATTTTGCCTACCCATTTCACCTGTACCGCATGTCTTTGGACTGTGAGGGAAACCGGAGCACCAGAAGGGAAACCCACGCAAAGAGCACATGCAAACTCCACACAGAAATGCCAACTGACCCAGCCATGGCTTAAAGCAGCGACCTTCTTGATGTGAGGCGACAACACAACCTACTGCGCCACTGCGTTGCTTAGATCAATTATTTAATATAAATTAAAAAAAAAAGTTATTATCCACCTTATTCTGCAGATTTCACCATAAAACCAGGATAGAAAAAAATGCTAGAAGCTAAAAAGTACTACACATGAACACTCTTGTGTAGAGATATACAGGACAAGTGTTCAAATTGCATGTCTCCATTATTTTCATATGAACAATCTAGTAATGAACATTTATCATATTTAGCGCTCATAAAAACTAGAATGTATGAAGATAATCTTCTTGCTTATGAGACTGTCATGTTGATTAGCTTGGGCGCTTCAGCCACCACATACTGACTTGAAAACAACATCAGTTCAGGCTTCAGTCTGGACCGAGCTGAGCTGAGCCCAAACCATTCCCTGACCAGCTGCTAACTGCTGATGTAGTGCTGCCAAATGTATGCCATGGCAATATGCTATCCATGCAAAAACTAAAAAGTTACGAAGTCTAGGCTAAATTTAAACTACAAACCACAACACCCCTTTAAGAAATATCTCAGCGAAGCAAAAAAAAAAAAAAAAAAAGGCTAAATTATGTGAAAAAAAACAAACTAACTTCTCTAGTATATTCAATATTGCTGATAATGATTCTTAGTATTTATTTGCAATTATAATCAACATTATTATACAGTTATTGCAAAAAAGTATCAGTATCTTGTCAAAATAAATGTATATTTTTAAATAATGTAAGTATTCAGGACTGACAATCCAAAAAATGCTCCAACAGCTATCAATTTTACAACAAGGTTTCATTCGTTTATGTTTTGCATTTACTAACATAAACCAATAATAAACTTTAGTTGTACAGCAATTATTATTCATACTTCAACATTTAATAATGCAATAATAAAATCCAAATTCATGCTTATTACTATTAGTTAATGCAGAGACAACATGAAGTAACAATGAACAACTGTATTTACATTAACTGATATTAACAAAGATTAATAAACACTGTAATGAATGTATTGTTCCTTGTTTGTTCATGTTAGTAAATGCATTCACTAACATGAACTAATGCAACCTTATTGTAAAGCGTTAAACAATAAATCTTTCAATAATTCTTGAAATAAAAATGAAGACAGAAATAAAGAATCACAGTGGATATTATGAATCTGATGATAAAGCACTGAGCTTGTGTGTATGCTTGTGGAACATGCTATTTGAGAAAAGCCTCTGACTGACTGATGGGAGAAAAAAGTGCCATGTGCAAAGCAAGTCTTGCAGAAGTATTGATCAATCTTCTCATCCTGGTGCTCATAAACTATAGCCTGGACAGCATGCTCCAATCCCGACTCTCCCCGCGCTAGCTGACAGCTAGAATGGTGTTTTTATTGTGAGCCGAGTCAGCTTTATCTGTGTCTTGGGGAAATTTAAATCTAGTGCCAGTGTTTGAACGTCACCCATAAAACAGATCTCTTCGATTCAGCACTGTGGTTGTCACTCGAAGAATATCAGCATATTAAGCAAGTTAACTTTACAAAAAAACAAAAAAACAAACGAAGACAATTGAGAAGTATATTAATAAATATCAATAATGAGAGTTCAAATCAATGAGATTTTGTTATAGC